GTTTTTTTTTTTTTTTTTTTTTTTTTTTTTTTTTTTTTTTTTTTTTTTTTTTTTTTTTTTTTTTTTTTTTTTTTTTTTTTCTTTTTTTTTTTTTTTTTTTTTAAACTACACAGTCAGGACACAGCCAACATATTAATCCGCTCTCTGAGCAGCCGGTCGCGTTGACCGCCATCTCTGGTGGGGAAATGGGGCCGGGCTCCCGGCCTGCCGCCGATTACATTTCAATCGATGCGCACTGGAAGTTGGGCGGGGTGGCGGCGCCTGCGAGCGGCGTCCACCATGGACCTGGCTGGCGCCTGGGCCGCCCGCCCCCCTGGGCTCACCTGCACATGATCTCGTGGGTCAGCAGGACGCGGCACATCTCCGGGTTCTTGTCCTGGCCCTCATAGACGATGGCCTGCGTGGGGACAAGCAAAGGCAGCGGTTACGCAGCGCCCGCGGCTGGCTCTGGTGCCGAGTCGCCCCGGGCGCCGTGGGCTTCGGGCAGCAGGTGCAGGGCCGGCGGGGGCGGCGTCGGGGCCACCAGGCCGCCATCCCTACCCGCCACCCCGGCGCTGCCCGCCAGCAGACCTCCTCTCGCGCGCACCGCAGGCCCAAGTTCCGCAGGGGAGGGCGAGGAGGGCACGGCCAGGCCGCGACGCAGGGGGCCGGAGCCTCCCACCCGGTGGGCCCCGCCGCAGGCCGCACCCTTGAGCCGTCCACACCGACGTGCGGAGGGTCTGTCGGAAGAAGGCGCTGGGCGCTGCGCCCGCAGACCCTCGAGGAGCCCGAGCAGCTCCGCCCTGCCCTGGCTTGGCCCAGGCGGACGCAGCCGCCCCGGAGCCCGCCGGCCACCGCGCATCGGCTGGCGCCCCCCCGGGAGGCCGGGCCCGGAGCCCCTGCCCGCGCGGCCACGTGCGCCTCGCCGGGTGATATTTGGAAAGAAAGTGCTAATGGCCAATCTGGTGTTTATTTTGAAACTGCTAACAATGATTTTTCTCGGGTAAAAAGGCAGTGTCTGCGCGCACGCTCGGGTGGGTCTTGAGCAGA